AAATCATGTGAAGAATATTTTGGAATCTCAATGAACCTTTCTAAGTAATTTGTTCTTTTTTTTTTTAAGATTTTATTTATTTATTCATGAGAGAGAGAGAGAGAGGCAGAAACACAGACACAGGCAGAGGGAGAAGCAGGCTCCATGCAGGGAGCCTGACGTGGCACTTGATCCAGGGTCTCCAGGATCATGCCCTGGGCTGAAGGCGGTGCTAAACCACTGAGCCACCGGGGCTGCCCAGTAATTTGTTCTGAATGAAAGTAGATGAGTTTAACATCAGAAAATCGTCATGGGCAATGATATGGGTGAAATTTACAAACATAATGTTGAGTATAAAGGCAGACACAGAAAGGGATACACTCTATAATTCTATTGGTACAAAGTTTTTTTTAAGAAGGCAAAACTAATCTATGTTTGTGGAAGTCAGAAGAGTGGTTATCCCTGAAGGAGGGAGGTACACAGGAAGCTTGAGAGATGCTGAAAAAAATTGGCTTCTTAAACCCAGGTGCTGGCTACATATGACTCCAGTTTGCAGAATTTTATTGAGCTATATCCTTAAGGTTTATGGTTTTTTTTCCCCTCTACATACGTAAAAAATAAGTTAAAAAAAAAAAACAAAAAAACAAAAAACAAAGATTATCATAGGTCCAGAAAGAGGGACCAGAACAGGGAAATCTATAGAGAAGGAAAGCAGACTAGTGGTGGATTAGGACTGATAGTTGATGGCTAAAGGTGACAGAGTTTCTTTTTGAGGTGATGAAAACTTTCTAAAAATGACTAAAGATGGTAGCACAACTCTGTGTATATGGTAAAAACCACTGAATTGTATACTTAAAAAAAAAAAAAACCAAAACCAATATTTGGAGAACTATTGTTACTTTTTAAAAGATTTTATTTTTAAGTAATCTCTATACCCAACGTGGGCCTTGAACTCACAACCCCTGAGATGTAGAGTCCCATGCACCAACTGAGCTAACCAGGTGCCCCAAAGAACTAGTAGTTATACTCTTCATTGCTTAGTTCCCCTGGCTGGTCCCTATGGATTCGCTAGACACCCAGAATGGGTGTGGAATGAATACAGATACATATTTCCACTTGAAGAAAGGACCTAATTCACCACCTGAGTTCCAAGGGCCTCTGACATCTACCTGGCTATTATTCACAGCTTCCCTTCTCTCTGAGCAATGCTCAGCAGCAGTCAATATTATGGGAAGGACTCTGTGGTTCTCAATCTTTCTGCATACCAATATCACCTGGGGAACTTTGAATACCAATGATGCCTGAGTCCCATACCTCGAGGTTCTATTTCAATGATGCCACCCTAGGCATCTGAATTATTATTTTTTAATTAATTAATTTTTTATTTTTTAAATTTATTTTATTTTTTTAAATCTGAATTATTTTTAAAGCTAGGAGGGACCAAAATCTGGACATGCTGATCCATTGCCTAAACATATAGCCATGCATGCACATGCACACACACACCATGCTCACTCTCTCTCCCAGGTGCTTCTTTTTCTTTAAATATTTTATTCATTTATTCATGAGCGACACACACAGAGAGAGAGGCAGAGACATAGGCAGAGGGAGAAGCAGGCTCCTCATAAGGAACCCAATGCGGGACTCAATCCCAAATCCTGGGATCACGCCCTGAGCTGAAAGCAGACGCCCAACCACTGAACCACCCAGGCATCCCTCCCAGGTGCTTCTAATATACATTCAATAATGAGAACCACTGGTATAGCAGTTGCCACAAAGAACTGGAAATCTAATTTCTTACTCTGCCATTTGATGTGAATAAACTGTTCGATCTCTCTGAACTTCAGGTATGGCTTTGAGAGACACCTACATAGCATATAGTAGGTTTTCATGGCTCCTTCTTGCTTCACCTTCCAGTCTCTGCTTAGGTATCATCTCCTGCCCGAACTTAAACTGTTTCTCTCTGTTCTTACAGCGCCTGTGCAGATCCCTGTCTTAAACCTTATTCTGTGACAGTGACATTAAAATCTTTGTCTGCATCTCTTCCATTAGTGTATACACTACTTGGAAGCAAGTTATTAATAAAAGTGATTATATGACCCTTCTTTTAGTTTTCTTTCAGAAATCATAACATTAGCTCATTTCCAAACTTTAGTTAAATAATCCTTCATGGAAAACACATGCAGCTTTGTGAAATACACATTATCCTTATTTTGTCTACTATTAATTAAAAAAAATTTTTAAAGATTTTATTTATTTATCCATGAGAGACAGAGAGAGAGAGAGAGAAAGAGAGGCAGAGACACAGGCAGAGGGAGACGCAGGCTCCATGCAGGGAGCCTGACGACGTGGGACTCGATCCCGGGTCTCCAGGATCACACCCTGGACTGAAGGTGGTGCTAAACCGCTGAGCCACTGAGGTTGGCCTAAAAAATTTTTTAATTTAAAATTTTTATTTTTTTTTAAAGACTTTAATTAATTCGAGAGAGAGGGAGAGAGCATCTCAGGCAGACTCCATGCTTAGCAGAGTTGGCTTGGGATGCTCTCTCCTTCTTTGTCATTGCTCCTCCCCCAGCTCAAGCACAGTTACATTGTCTCTGTGCATACATACATACAATCTTTTTTTTTTTTTAAAGATTTATTTATTTATTCATGAGAGACCCACAGAGAGAGAGGCAGAGACACGGGCAGAGGGAGAAGCAGGCTCCATGCAGGGAGCCCGAAATGGGACTTGATCCTAGGTCTCCAGGATCACACCCTGGGCTGAAAGCGGCGCTAAACCACTCAGCCACCCGGGCTGCCCATATACAATCTTTTTTTAAAAAGAAAACAAAATGTCATTCTTTATACTATAAAGCCTTCTTTTTTTTTTTTTTAAGTAAACTCTACCCCCAATGTGAGGCTTGAACTCCCCACCTATTTTTTTCTTTTTTAAAACATTTTATTTATTTTTCCATGAGCGACACACAGAGAGAGGCAGAGACACAGGCAGAGGGAGAAACAGGCTCCATGCAGGGAGCCCAATGTGGTCCAATCCCAGGACCACAGGATCATGCCCTGGGCCAAAGGCAGGCGCTAAACCACTGAGCCACCTGGGCTGCCCAAAAGGTTGTTTTTTTTTTTTTTTAATAAGATTTTATTTATTTATTCATGAGAGAGACAGAGAGAGAGAGAGAGAGAGAGAGGGAGAGGCAGAAACACAGGCAGAGGGAGAAGCAGGCTCCATACAGAGAACCTGACGTGGGACTTGATCCCGGGTCTCCAGGATCAGGCCCTGGGCTGAAGGCGGTGCTAAACCACTGAGCCACCCAGGCTGCCCCCCTTAATGATTTTTATTTATTTTTATTTTTTTTTCTTAATGATTTTTAAATAACATTTTCTTTTCTCTCCCTTACTATACTGTAAGAATATAGTATAAAATTCATATAACATACAACATACGTGTTAGTCTACTGCTGATGTTACTGGTAAAGCTTCTAGTCAATAGCTATTTGTAGGTTTCAGGGAGTCAAAAGTTATATGCAGATTTTTGACTGCACACAGATCAATACCCCAAATCCCTACATTGTTCAACCGTACATACATATTTGTACACAATGTACATGGTTTCATGAACATCTTCTATTGCCATCCCTTGAAAAGGTGCATAGACCTCAGGTTTAAAACCGGTTTAGAGGGGCACCCGGGTGGCTCAGTGGTTGAGTGTGTCTGCCTTCAACTCAGGTCATGGTCCCATGGTCCTCAGATTGAGTCCCACATCGGGCTCCCTGCATAGAGCCTGCTTCTCCCTCTGCCTGTGTCTCTGCCTCTTTCTATGTCTTTTATGATTAAATAAATAAAATCTTAAAAAAAAACTGGCTTAGAACAACATTGAAGGAAATACATTAAGGAAAGAAATAGATCTGAAACTAACAATTCTTATGAGTGCTTTTTAAAAAATCTTTTCCCAACTCTGCTTAGGGAGGAGCTCCCAAACCGTCTTATGACTCTTACCTACAGAGCTGAAAGTTCCTTGGGTTTTCTCCAGCTCGTGGTTGCTTAGAGAAAAAAAACCTCTGCTTCCAACATTATTGCCCTTATGAACACACTTTATCAGCGACTTCTTTCTTGTGCACGAAAGGTCTTTGGTCACTAACTTTCAGTTGTCTTTCCCTTTTCAGGTTACCAAAAGAACTTGAGTAATTTGGGACCATGGCTCTGGTGTCAGAGATCAGGCCCCGGCTAGATGTGGGAAAGTAACTCGTAGCAGCCCGGAAATATACTTCCACAGCAAGGGCTCACCCAGGGAGTGTGAGTCAACAAGGCATAGGTCAGAGTGGTAATCCGGAAGAAGAAAGGTAGAGATATTTTTAAAACCCATGCATCTGGGATACCTGGGTGGCTCAGCAGTTGAGCATCTGCCTTGGGCTCAGGGCTTGACCCTGAGTCTGGGGATGGTATCCTACATCGGGTTCCCTGCATGTAGCCTGCTTCTCCCTCTGCCTGTGTCTCTGCCCCTCTATCTGTGTGTGTCTCTCGTGGATAAATAAATAAAATCTTAAAAAAAAAAAAAAAACATGCATCTGGTCTGACTGGAAGGATAGGACAAATCTTGATTCTAAGGATTCTTGCCTCCTTAGTCATAAACCTCTTCTGTGCTTCCTGCTGAGGTAAAGCTTAGAGAAGTATTTTGCTGCCATGGAGCTAGAATCCAGAGGTTAGCTTGCCTACAACCTGCAAGAAAGTGTTTACTGGAAAAGAAGGCCTAATGCTGACACTTGGTGTTTTGCTCTCAACTGGGCAAGGTAGAAGAATCCAAAATGCTTTCACTGAGTATCAGCTGTATAATTTTTATGATGAGCGTTTATCGATCAGAAGTTTCACAACTGCTCTCCTCTCTTTTAAGTTTTTGTTCTGCTGATGAATGCCTTGTAGTTTGTATATAGTTGAGTTTTTTACTACCTGGAGTAGTTTCTTATTTTTTTCTTTTCTTTCCTTTTCTTTCTCTTTTCTTTTCAATAATCTCTACACCCAACATGAAGCTTGAACTTAACCCTGAGATCAAGAGTCACATGCTCCACTGAGTGAGCCAGCCAGATGCCCTACTACCTGGAATAGTTTTATAGCCTGGTTGCTAGAAGAGACTTAGTGAAACAAGTATGCTTTTGAAGGTACTATATGCTTTTCCTGCTCCTGAATTTGACTATTTAAGACAAAGACTCATGGTATGGGTTCTTGGTATTTTCAAACCACTTATTTGACCCAAGAGGAGAATAGAGAGTGGAAGAAGGATGGAGGGTTCACGTAGGCTACTGTCTGTTTATGACCTTATGACCATGCTGTGTTGCGTCCCCCAGTATTGAAGGTGTCCCTTGGTTTTATAACAGGAATCAGACCTATATACCCCCTGTGTTACAAACTGTGCTAAACACTATTTAATTAATCCTCCCCAACAGCCTTAAAGTTTGCTGTTTATTCCTGAAGAAACTAAAAGTCGAAGAAGTGAACTAACCTGACCAATATCAAAAAACTAGTTAAGAGCGTGCAACACTTGATCTCTGGTAGTGAATTCAAGCCCCACACTGAGTGTAGAGATTACTTAAAAAAAAAAAAATACTAAAAAAAAAAATACTAGTTAGTGAAGAAAATCGGATTTCATCCCTTTTTCCCCACTACTATATTTAAGTGGAGAATTGCTCCTTAGTTCTGGCTTCTCCCAGTACAACTTCCCTCCTCCCCCACACAAGGAAATCTGGCTTGGGTACACTGAGTTAATCCACTAGAGACTGAGTAATGACCCACCAGAATACTATTTTACAAAGGGGGATTGCCTTTTCAATAAATTGATTGTGTTGACCAGGGCCCCTCTTCTGGGTCAGAGTGCTTGTTCAGCATCAATTCAAAGAGGAGAGAATTGGATGACCTCAAGGCATCTTGTATCCAGACTATAAGGCTTGAAAAAGTAAACAGACCTTGTAACCTCGTAATGACTAGAATATTCATGTCTGCCAAGTATAACCTACCCTGGACAGTGTGAGATAAACACTGGTGAAATTTTGCCTCCTTCCAAAGTCATCATTTTTTGGACTCCAGGCAATTCAGGGCAGATGACTCTCTTATTTACATTATCTTTAGTTGTTGTACTTCCCAGGATTGCTGTATCTCTTAGATCACTCAGCCCAGCCTGAGGTGATTTTCGCTGTCATCATGAGCTTATGTCATCATGAGCTTCATGAGCTTTGGATAGACTCCATTAGCATTTACAAACCATTATTCAGATAGGTTACTTTTGTAATCCCATAACCTAATTCTTTGGGTTGATTTTTTTTCTTTTAAGTTTATTTATTTTGGAATCTCTACACCCAGTATCAGGCTTGAACTCATGACCTGGAAATCAAGAGACATAGGCTCTTATGACTGAACTAGCCAGTTGCCCCTCTGGATTGATTTAATTAAAAAAATTTTAAAGATTTTATCTGTTATTTACGAGAGAACGAGAGAAGACAGAAGGAAGGGAAGGGAGAGGGAGAAGCAGACTCGCTGCTGAGCAGGGCACCCAACACGGGGCCCCATCCCAGGACCCAGAGATCATGACCTGAGCCGAAAGCAGGCACTTAACCAACTGAGCCATCTTCGGGTTGATTTTTTTTTTTTAATTTTTTTTTTTAATTTATTTATGATAGTCAGAGAGAGAGAGAGAGAGAGAGGCAGAGACATAGGCAGAGGGAGAAGCAGGCTCCATGCACCGGGAGCCCGACGTGGGATTCGATCCCGGGTCTCCAGGATCGCGCCCTGGGCCAAAGGCAGGCGCCAAACCGCTGCGCCACCCAGGGATCCCCTTCGGGTTGATTTTTGATGAGATTTTCATATCTAATTTTTTTAAAAGATTTTATTTATTTGACAGAGCGCGTGCGCACACAAGCAGGGGAAGTAGCAGGTGGATGGAGAGGGAGAAACAGGCTCCCGCCAAGCAGGGAGCCTGATGTAGTGCTTGATCCCAGAACCCTGGGATCATGACCTGAGTGGAAGGCAGATGCTTAACCAACTGAGCCACCTGGGTGCCCCTCATCTCTAAATTCTGAAGAAGGGACCTCCTTCAAGTTTGCAGCCTTTATTCTCCCAAGCTGGTAGCATTTAGAATCTCCCCTGCTTGAAGACTTTATTAGTAGGATCAAAACCAGTGAGGCAGGGGATCCCTGGATGGCTCAGTGGTTTAGTGCCTGCCTTCAGCCCAGGCCTGATCCTGGAGACTCCGGATCGAGTCCCACATCAGGCTCCCTGCATGGATCCTGCTTCTTCCTCTGCCTCTCTCTCCGCCTCTCTCTGTCTTTCATGAATAAATAAATAAAATCTTAAAAAAAAAAAAAAACACCAGTTAGGTAGCTAACATCTATTGCAGGCAGTCATATTGTTACATTTTATACTTAACAGGAGGGTAGGTCACCAAAATATTTTATGCACCTTTTTAGATGTGTGACATACTTTAACGCAATGATCAAATGGAGAGGAAGAACATTTCTTTGAACCCTAACCTGTCTCAGGCCAAATGGATGGAAAGATTACAGGGGAAATTAACATTTGATTCTTTCTTCAGGCCATAATAGCCTTTTTCCTATTTCTTTCTAAAAGGAATGGATTCATCCTGCTCCTGGGAGCAGGTTTCTCTTTGCATCAGAAAGCTTTGCAAAGGAGCCAGCTGCACCAAGTGAGCCCTGAAATTCCCAGGTAACATACTTTCAATTAGGAAGGCTTGCTCCAAGGCTGAGGAAGTACATCATTTAACAGTGGGTTGTGGTATAGTGGCAGGAACCTGGGAGATTCTGGGGTCTCTCTCTAAATTGGCCACTTTGAGCCTTGTACAGCTTGCCTACTTTGTGAATTGCTTGTGAAATTGAAATGAATTGTGTTTGAAAGTGTTTTGAAAACTGTAAAATGTTCTACAAATGTAATTTTTTTTTTATGATAGTCACACACAGAGAGAGAGAGAGACATGGGCAGAGGGAGAAGCAGGCTCCATGCAGGGAGCCCAACGTGGGACTCGATCCCGGGTCTCCAGGATCGTGCCCTGGGCCCAAGGCAGGCGCCAAACCGCTGCGCCACCCAGGGATCCCCACAAATTTAAGTTTTATTTCCAAGCAAATCAATGAGCAGTCACTGAAGAAGGAATTGGCTGAAAGCACTTGGTGCATATGCTTTTGTAAGCACCAAACATTAAGCGCTCAGGTTTATTGAGCATTTACTCATGTGCCAGGCACAGCTGTAAATGTTTTACATGTATTAATATTTAATCTTCATAGAACTCTAATAAGATAAATATTATCGTTCCCATTTTACAGATGAGAAACACTGAAGCACAGAGAAGTTAAGCGTCCTACCTGAAGTAAGATACCTAGGTAATATATCTAACAAATGGTGAAGTGAAACTAGGATGCAAATACAGGCAGCCTCGCTCCAAAGCTAAGACTATAATGCTGGCAGCATAATCCTTACTAACTGAATTGGTAGCCAGTCCAAAACATTTGTTATGCCTGTCTCAAAAGGTTAAATGTCATATAAGTGTTGGAAAGCTAAAACTGTGATGAGTAAAGATGCTTTTCAAGAAAAGCATCCTTGGGGATCCCTGGGTGGCTCAGTGGTTTGGCGCCGGCCTTTGGCCCAGGGCACGGTCCTGGGGTCCTGGGATCGAGTCCCGCATCGGGCTCCTGGCATGGAGCCTCCTTCTCCCTCCTTCTGTGTCTCTTTCTCTGTCTAGATCTATCATGAATAAATAAATAAATAAATCTTTAAAAAAAAAGAAAAGTATCCTTTCAGGATTTGGATTTGACCCCTCAGTGCCTAATAGTCATATTTTGGGGTCCTATGTAAACCCTACTTCTGTGGGGGGGGGTTGGTCTTGAAACATGCATGGAAAATCATCTGTTAACCTACTTCATCAGCAAAATGGTGATAATGGAATTTTAAGATCTAGTTAGGTTGAAAATGGTGAAGATGGTATAAAGGAAAGCCTTGTAAATTTAAATGACAGACAAGTAATTTTACTCTTTTTAGAAATGCACCTGCTCATGATTGGATCCAATTCTTTTTCTTTTCTTTCCTTTTTTTAAAGATTTTTAAGTAATCTATGCATCCAACATGGGGCTCAAATTTACAACCCCAAGGGGCGCCTGGGTGGCTCAGTTGGTTAAGCATCTGCCTTCAGCTCAGGTCATGATCCCAGGTCCTGAGATTGAGCCCAGAGCCTGAGCCCTGTGTTGCACGCCCTGCTCAGTGGCGGTCTGCTTCTCCCTCCCCACTGCTCTTACATGCTGTCTCCCCCACTCTCTCTCTCCCCCTCGCAAATAAACAAATAAAATCTGTAAAAACAAGCAAGAAAATTTACAACCTCAAGAGTTTCATAGTGCACCAACTGAGCCAGCCAGCAGTCCCCTCCTTTTTTTCTTTTGATAGAAAAAAAAAATGTATCAATCATCCCACATGTCTGGCTGCATCTTTTCTTCATCAACATCAATTGGTAGATTTTTATCTGATTAGTCTGATTTCTTCTTTATTCATTTCTTTTGTTTTACCACTTGTATCTTCTGATGCCTTGATTTGGTATTTCTAGTCAAATTACATAATTTGTTTCTTTGTATGTTATGAGAGGAAAGGGAGACAGAGCTGAAGGAATGAAAAATTAAAATCTTCCCTTAGTAAGGCAATACCTTAATGGTTTAATATTTTTTTATTGTGAAAGTAACATATGACATTAAAAAAGTAGGAAGTACAGAAAAACATTAAGCTGACCAAAAAAATGAAACATGTTCCTCCTTAATAGAAAATTGAGTACTGGGCAGCCCAGGTGGCTCAGCGGTTTTGCGCCACCTTCAGCCCAGGTGTGGTCCTGGGGACTCTGAATTGAGTCCCACGCCAGGCTCCCTGCATGAAATGGAGCCTGCTTCTCCCTCTGCCTATGTCTGTGCCTTTCTCTGTGTGTGTGTGTGTGTGTGTGTGTGTGTGTGTGTGTGTGTGTGTTTGTGTCTCATGAATAAATAAATAAAATCTTTTTTTTTTAATTTTTAAAATTTATTTATGATAGTCACACACACAGAGAGAGGCAGAGACACAGGCAGAGGGAGAAGCAGGCTCGATGCACTGGGAGCCCGATGTGGGATTCGATCCTGGGTCTCCAGGATCGCGCCCTGGGCCAAAGGCAGGCGCCAAACTGCTGCGCCACCCAAGGATCCAATAAATAAAATCTTTAAAAAAATTTTGAGTACCATATTTTTTAATGCGGTAATACTGCCTTATAAAAAGATTGCATCATAAACATGTTTGATTTAAGATTGAAACAAATAGGAGACATAAAAACGTATTTTTGAATATCTAAACTTACAGGTTTGATGTAGATGTGTCAATAATATGTGAATTATTTAACCATTCACTGTTGGATATTTGAGATGCCTCCAATTTTTATTTATTTATTTATTTATTTATTTATTTATTTATTTGATTTTTATTTACTTAATCACGAGAGACATTGGGGGGGGCAGAGACACAGGCAGAGAGAGAAGCAGGCACCATGCGGGGAGCCCCACGTGGGACTCGATCCTGGGACTGGATCCTGGGACTCCAGGACCACATCCTGGGCCAAAGGCAGGTGCTAAACCGCTGAGCCACCCAGGGATCCCCACAATGAACTTATTTTTTTATGATTTTATTTTTAAGTAATCTCTACACCCAATGAGGAGCTTGAATTCAACAATCCTTGAGATCAAGAGTCACGTTTTACCAACTGAGCCAGTCCGGCGCCCCACAATGAACTTCTTGGCATAAATACCTAGAAGTGGAATTATTGGCTTAAGAAGTACAAACATTTTAAAGTTTTTGATGTATCTTGCCAAATTGCTTTTTTTAAAGGATGAATTAACATTTACTTGCAACAGAAACATACAAAGGGGTTTGGTTTTGCGTATTGGAGGTTTTCATTTACAAATATTTACATTTGGGCAGCCCCGGTGGCTCAGCGGGTGGCTCAGTGGTTTAGCGCAGCCTTCTTCGGCCGAGGCGTGATCCTGGAGACCTGGGATTAAGTCCCATGTCAGGCTCCCTGCATGGAGCCTGCTTCTCCCTCTGCCTGTGTCTCTGCCTCTCTCTCTCTCTCTCTCTCTCTCTCTCTCTCTCTCTATCTATCTCTCATAAATAAATAAATAAAATCTTAAAAAAATTTACATTTATTTATGGTAACAGCTCTTCATATGTGTTTAATGCTATGTACTTTTTTCTGTAAGTTGGACATACTTTGCATAGTTTTTATAATGATTTTATTTGTTTGACAGAGTGCAAACAGAGAGCGGCAGGCATAGGAAGAAGGAGAAGCAGAAGCAGGCTCCCGCTGAGCAAGGAGCCTGATGAAGGGCTCCATCCCAGAACCTTGGGATCATGACCTGGGCTGAAGGCAGTGGCCTAACTAACTGAGCCACCCAGGCTCCCCCTTTTCCATGTTTTTTGATTAGGTTTCTTATCAAAATTTTCTTAGGATTTCTTTTTTTTTTTTTAAGATTTTATTTATTTATTCATGGAAGACACAGGGAGAGAGAGAGGCAAAGACACAGGCAGAGGGAGAAGCAGGCTCTATGCAGGGAACCCGACAACGAGACTCGATCCCAGAACTCCAGGATCATGCCTTGGGCCGAAGGCAGACACTAAACCACTGAGCCACCCAGGGATTCCCAAAATTTTTTTAGGATTTCTTATCAAATTTTAGTAGTCCTTTGACTCAAATTTGTGACAGAAGTGTACAAGTATATAGCTTATATTTAGTTTGGTTATATCCTTATAATTTTCTTTATAATTGTTTCAATTGTTTCTCCTGCTTCTAAGCTTAAAAAGTCATTCCTCATCTATGTAGCCATTAGGAAAAAAATGAAGTAGATCTATGTATTAACATAAAAGGATGCCCAAGTTATACTGTGTTTTTTTTTAAGATTTTATTCATTTATTCATGAGAGACACAGTGAGACGGGCAGAGTCATAGGCAGAGGGAGAAGGCTTCCCCTGGCCAAACTGGGGACAATGTGAGCATCAAGATGAATGCTGATAATATTGAATTATAAAATAGGAATCCATGAGTTCAGGGTGATAGAAATAAAATAATTGGATAGCCCAGGTGGCTTAGTGGTTTAGTGCCACCTTCAGCCAGCATGATCCTGGAGACCAGGGATCAAGTCCCGCATCGGGCTCCCTGTGTAGAGCCTGCTTCTCCCTCTGCCTGTGTCTCTGCTTCTCTCTCTCTCTCTCTCTCTCTCTCTCTCTCTCTGTGTGTGTGTCTCATGAATAAATAAATACAATCTTAAAAAAATCATCAAAAAAATAGGAAAGAAGGAAAGGTCTTCATTATAGTAGAACTGCAACTGATAAATGTAGAAAGAATGATGGAATTAGAAAAGTCACAATTTGGCAGCCACCATAACAAAAATTGATTTAGCCAGGAATCATCAATGGATGCTAAAACTGGTGTGATCAAAGGATGATGAGAAATGGGATATGTACATAATCTCAAAGTAGGATCATACACAAGATACTTATTAATTACAAATAGTAACTGTACAATGGAGAATCCTGGGAGACTGCCTCAACCAGGTGATGAAAGCAAACATCATCATTATGGGACAGAAGGACATCAGTTGCCTCCTGATATGATGAGCTAGGAAAGTCAGAACAGTACGTCTCTGGTATTTTTGCCAAAAATACACAATCTAAATCTAAATCTAAGGGAACAAGAGGCTACCAAATTCAGGGGCATTCTTCAAAAGAATTGTCCTGCACCCTAAAAATATCTTTGTCGTAAAAGAAAGACTGAGAAACTACTCCAGACTCCAGAAGACTAAGGTTACATGGCAACTAAATAGCTTTGTAATCCTGAATTTTTTTAAAGATTTATTTATTTATTTTAGAGAGAGCATGAGCAGGAGGGGAAGGGAGAGGGAGAAAAATCTCAAATGGACTTTGTGTTGACCGCAGAGCCTGATGCAGGGCTCCATCTCCCGATGCTGAGATTGCTACTTGAGCCAAAGCCAAGAGTCGGATGCTTACCTGAATGTACCACTCAGGTGCCCCTGTAATCTTTAATTGTATCCTGGACCAGAGAACAGTTTTTTTTTCTTTTTCTATAAAGGTGGAAGTTGGACAATTGATGAATTTGAATGTCTGTAGATTATAGTATTGTATAAATGTTAATTTCCAATTTTGATAATTGTATTGTAGTTATATAAGAGAATGTCCTTGTCTTTTAAAGGGACATGATGTCAGAAAAAAAATTTAAACTAGAATCTGTTCATAGGTGGTCTTTTAAAGACAATGGCTATATGACAAACTACGCTTTATCTGACAGAGTAACTATAATAACCACTTACGGTTTTCTTCAGAACTCTTGGATTTGTTCATTCAGTAGCTACCATCGAATACCAATGTATCAAGCATAGTACTAGACATGGAACGAGGCAGAAACGATTGCAAAGTAGTGTCCTCAGGAAATTGACAGCCTATAGGAGGTGAGCAAAGATGCAAAGAGAGTGAGAGAGATGGAAGGAGAGAGACAACTAATGAGAATGATAAAACAAATGTAGTAAAAATTAACATTTGAGGAATATAAGTGAAAGGCATAAGGGAATTCATTTACTATTTTTGCAGTTTTTCAGGATCTGTGAAATAATTTCAAAATAAAAAGTTAAAAATATATTGTAAAAACTGCCAAGAAGAAAAAAAGAAATTAAGAGACTAGAGTTTAATAGACAATAGACTAGAGTTTAATAGACAACTTGCAATAGACTAGAGTTTAATAGACAACTTGCAAAACTTGTACCTTGTTAGGCCATGAAGAAAATTCTCAACAATTCCACAAAGCACAAAAATATACATGCCATACTCACAGACTAAAACAAGTAAAACTTAAAATTTAGAAATTAAAATTATTTAGATGTTCTCAATTACTTCTCTCTAAACAATAACTGAATCAAAGCAGTAAATGTGAACTATTGGCTATGGCCTAAACTATTAGCAAAGGAAAAATCTACAGTCCTAATTTTATTTATTTATTTGTTTGTTTATTTATTTATTTAAGATTTTATTTATTTATTCATGAGAGACAGAGAGAGAGAGAGAGAGAGAGAGAGAGGCAGAGACACAGGCAGAGGGAGAAGCAGGCTCCATGCAGGAAGCCCGATGTGGGACTCAATCCCGGGTCTCCAGGATCACGCCCTGGGCCAAAGGTGGCACTAAACCGCTGAGCCACTGGGGCTGCCCTACAGTCTTAAATTTATTATTATTCATCAAGAAAGAACAGAAACCTGTAAGTCATACACTGTTTTATAAGTTAGGGCAAAAACATCACCAATACAAGGTGCCCAGGAAAAAGACTGTTGTGCCATCTGTCTGCTCTTAAATGGTCACTCAGCCAGTTCATAGAGACATTTAGGGCAGTACTTTTATTGTGCCAGTACCAAATGCTGGATGGGAGAGGCAAATGAGATCTTCACTCGTGGAACTTACAGGGTATGTGTGTATACAAGCAGGAAAACATCAGATATTAAATAATAAATTCAAAAATTCAGTATTGTGAAGAAGTACATAGTGCTGTTTATCCCTAGTGCAGTATCACTTAACAGTACCCTCGGTGGTCATTGTTTCCCTACTGACTTTGTTTGAGTCTCTTTTTTACTACATCTCTATCCATCTTTTTCTATTTTTCTCTCTTTCCTCCTCTTGCTCTCTTTTCTCCCCCTCCCTCCCTCCTTCTCCCAATTCCCTAAAGACACTGTGTTTCATTTATTTTTGCCTCATCCTGAGCCTAGTGCTCTGCTTGATATATTGGCACTCAATGGTGGCTACTGAATGAATTAATTCCAGGAGTTTTAAAGAATCCTGTATGTTAATTAAGTGGACACTGCAAGGCAACTTGTAGATTGCCATTTAAACATACGTGTATGTGTGTGTGTGTATTATATTAGATTTTATTTATTTTAGAGAAAAAGAGATAGTGTGAGTGCAAGTGGGAAGAGGAGCAGAGGGAGAGAGAGAAAGAATCTCAAAGAGATTCCCTGCCAAGTGCAGAGCCTGACAGGAGGCTTGATGTCATGAGATCATGACCCATGAGCCAAAACCAAGAGTTGGACGCTCAACTGACTAAACCACCCAGGCACCCTGTAGATTACTATTTGACTTAAAACGAAATCTAGAAGAGAATCTAGGAACTGAAGAATATAAAGAGAACACAAAATAACCACAGGACACAGCTTGGACAAGCTAGTAGACTGTTTAAGCAGTATTTGGTTAATTGAAATTCTAAGAAAGATAGTTTGTGTAAGGGAATCATACTTAATTCACCTTTAGAATGCTTGAATGAGCTGTTTTGGTAGTAGTACTTAGAAAAATCAATAGGTGCAATTTACTTTGATTTTTCACAGACTTTTGCTTTTTTTTTTAAATTTCTTAAGATTTTATTTATTTATTCATGAGAGACACAGAGAGAGAGAGAGGCAGAGACACAGGCAGAGGGAGAAGCAGGCTCCATGCAGGGAGCCCGATGTGGGACTCGATCCCAGGGCTCCAGGATCACGTCCTGGGCTAAAGGCAGGTGCTAAACTGCCTGAGCCACCCGGGCTGCCCTGATTTTTCACAGACTTTTGATAAAGCTTCGCATCCTAGGATCTACCCTGGAACAGGAAATAGGCCTGAGGTGTCAAATGAAGAGTGAGTGTGTAAGAGAAAAAGTGGTAAGAAAAGAGGGAAGTAAATAAGGACTAGATTGAGTAGGCCTTGAAGGCCAGTTGGGACTTGAGATTTTGTTGTTGCTTTTGGAAGGTTTTGAAAATGTCATCTGGTCATAGCTATAAAGGATCTGGTTTCTGTGCCTGTGAGACTAGACTGTAGTAGGATAAGAATGGAAGCATCAAGACCAAGTGGTGGAAGGCTGTTGCAGTAGGCAATGGTGGCCTGGACTATGATAATAGTAGTAATAGTGATGAGAAATGTTTAATCCAGATTAAGTATTGAAGGCAGAGGGAATAGAAGTTACCAATGATTGTGTGGTGTGAGTTAAGGGTAATTTAAAAGTTTGTGGCTTGAGCCATTTAATGAATTCAATTCATACCGGTCTCTTTGCCTTACAGTCTATTAGGGGAGAGGATGTTTCATGGATCCTGTATTTGAAGAGCAGGGACATTAGGAGGCTACTATAGTTCTTCTGGAAAGATGAAAGGGGCCTGAACCTGGGCAGAGGCTTTAAGTGTAGAGAAGGCATTCCAAGGGCACATACTTGATATTTAGGAAGTAAAAATTACCACATAAGAAAACAGTTTAAAAGGCACCTGGGTGGCTCAGGGGTTGAGCATCTACCTTTGGCTCAGGGTGTGATCCTGGGTCCTGGGATTGAGTCCAGCATCGGGCTCCCTACGGGGAACCTACTTCTCCCTCAGCCTGTGTCCCTGCTTTCTCTCTGTGTGTCTCTCATGAATAAATGAAATATTTGAAAAAGGAAATGTTTATGGCTTTTTACTAAAATTGAAGATAGCCAAATCTTTTCCCCCCAGTAACTCACTTATTGGTATTTATCCTAGAGCAGGG